CACACCTCATGCCCACTCATCAGTATTGAATGAGTGCACATCTCATGGGGGAAAGAAGGAGGGGGGGGGGGGGGGGGAAGGAGAGAAAAAATGATCATAAAAAAATGGATATCACAAGTACTCTCTCTGGTTATAAATAAGAGAAAGTCTCCCCTGGTGTCGCACAGGGCTCATCCTTCACAAAAACAAATGTGGACTAGTTTACTTAGCAGTCATTCCAGGGGAGGGGGTGGGACAGCAGAGTTTGTCACCCTCCCCCACCCTTGCCAGACCCCCTTTGAGGTCCGAGGTTTGAAAAGGAATGTGGAAGGAATATCCACAGGGAAGAAAAGGAGTTGAGGTGAGAGAAGGAGAGGGACACCAAGGGACAACTGGTGCCTGAATCAAGCATGGTGAGGCACTTCAATCTGCCCTGCTATTTATACATCTTCTATCCCATCCAGCCTCTCCACCTGCCAGCATGCAGGTGGCCATGAGGATAGATGAAAGAAAAGAGAAGAGACAGACAGACAGATAGACAGACTAGGGTGGTTAGGATATGGATGAGGATGTGGACAGGCATGTAAGATACTTTTTGTGTGACTGACACCACCGAGGCCAAGAAACTTTCAGACAGCGAGATGTACTGCCCTGGGCTGGTAGATGAAGCAGCCAAGGGCCCATGTCCATCACCACCTGCCAGGCACACCCAGGCACCGATCCCATGCTGACGGCCAGGCTCCAGACGGATGCAATGATTATTATGTACAGGTATCAATACACACACACAACAAAGTAGAGGACAAGACCAGAGCGCTGCAATGCATCTCCGCTTGATCCAAAGTTAGCTTCCCTCAAACCCACTAAGACTACTAAGTTATCTACTTCCCGAGGGAGAACACCAACAGATGCAGCGGTCATCCTTCACACACCTTGAAAAGACTTTTGATAGTGGTCCAAGGGGGCTTTCACCGACGGATCCATATAGAGAATTCCTAAAGGCCAATTTAGGTGTGGTTCTGTTGGGTAGAAAAAGGACGGTGCAGTCTTTCTTTTTCTTTCTTTTTCTTGCACTCTTTGGGAAAAAAAGGGGGGGGTGGGCTATAGACAAGGCTCACAGGAGGCAACTGACTCTCACCTGCAACCCAACTAGGCCTGTGAGCCTCTGCCATGCACCAAGTGCTCTTTCTGTGTTTATGGGACTCAGCCTAATCAACAGAAAGGCCGAGGGAAAGGAATGGGGGCAGAGAGAAGAGAAGAGAAAAAAAAAAAAAAAAATAAGAAGAAGAAGAATGAAAAGAAGAAAGACGAGGCAGGCCACAGAGAGAAACCAAGGGGGAGAGAAACAGAGAGGAGAGAGAGAGAGAGAGAGAGAGAGAGAGAGAGAGAGAGAGAGAGAGAGAAGAGAGACGAGAGAGAGAGGAGAGAGAGGAGAGAGAGGAGAGACAGGAGAGAGAGAGGAGAGAGAGAGAAGAGAGAGAGTAGAGAGAGAGAGAGAGAGAGAGAGCGAGAGAAGGAGGTAGAGAGAGAGAGAGGAGAAGAGAGAGAGGAAGAGAGGAGAGAGAGGAGAGAGAGGGAGAGAGAGCGAGAGGAGAGAGATAGAGAGAGAGGAGGAGTAGAGAGAGGAGAGAGCGTAGAGAGAAGGAGAGGGAGGAGAGAGAGGAGAGAGAGAGAGAAGAGGAGAGAGAGAGAGAGGGGAGACGAGATAGGTATAGAGAGAGAGAGAGGAGATAGAGTAGATATGAGAGAGAGAGAGAGGAGAGAGAGAGAGAGGAGAGAGAGGAGAATAGATGGAGAGAGACAGTACAGAGAGAGAGAGAGAACGAGGAGGAGACAGACCGAGGAGAGGAGGAGAAGAGAGAGAAGAACCAGAGAGAGAGAGAGAGACAGAGAGATAGAGGAGGGATACAATACAGAGATAGAGAGAGAGAGAGAAGAGAGAGAGAGAGAGAGAGAGGATGAGAGAGAGAGAGAGAGATTACGAGAGAGAGATAGATGAGAGAGAGAGAGAGAGATAGAGAAAGAGAGTATAGAGAGAGAGAGAGAGCTCAGAGAGATAGAGATATGACACAGTACATATGACAGAGATAGAGATAGATAGAGATAGTAGAGAGGGATAAGATGAGAGAGAGACATACAGGAGACAGATATTATATATAGAGATAGATAGAGTAGATAGTAATCGATATATATACATACATGGAGACAGATGATAGTATATATGAGAGAGAGAGATATATATAGATAGATACTATATAGATAGATAGAGAGAGCATTAGAATTATATAGAGTATATATATATATAGACATCGACCGAGTAGATATATATAATATAGATATATAAACATATATATATATAGAGATATATATATATATATATATATATATTATATATATATATGTATAACAGTATACATTATAGATATATATATATAATATATATATATATATATATATTATATATATATATATATATATATATATATGTATTATATATGTAATATATATGTATATATATATGTTATATATATATATGTTATTATAATGTATACTGATATGTTTATATATATCTATATATAATATAGATAGATATATATAGATAGATATATATATATAATATATGTATATATATATATGTATATATATATGTATATATATGTTATATATATGTAATATATATGTATATATATGTATATTTACATGTTATATATATAGATGTATATATATGTATATATATATGTATATCATATATGTAATATATATTATATATATATATGTATATATATATATATATATATATATGTCATATATATATGTTATATATATAGGTATATATTATGTATAGATATATGTATATATATATGTATATAGTTATATAGTAAGATATATATGTAGATATAGATGTAGATAGATAGTATTCTATGTATAGTAGATATGTATAGATAGAGGTATATATAGTAGTGGATATGAGAGATATGTATAGAGAATAGGGATAGATATATGGATATATATATGTAAGACAGATATATATATATAGTATAAGAGATAGATATATATATATATGTAGATACAGAGTATGATATACATATATGTAATACAGAGAGGGATATACATAGAGGACTGAGAACATAGAGAGAGACGATAGATGAGAGAGATAGAGAGAGAGGAGAGAGGATAGAGTAGGAGAGAGAGAGTATGGAGACGAGAGAGAGGAGAGAGAGAGAGAGAGAGAGAGACAGATAGAGAAGAGAGAGAGGAGAGAGATGAGAGGAGATGAAGGATATAGAGATAGAGAGGGAGAAGAGAGAGAGAGAGAGTAGAGAGCTCGATAGATGGAGAATATAGAGGAGATAGCGAGAGGGAGAACAATAGAGGGAGAGACATATAGATAGAAATATGAGGAGAGACAGATAGAGAGAGGGAGGGGAGAGAGAGAGAGAGAGGAGATGAGATATAGAGAGATAGAGATATAGAGAGCGAAGACAGATAGAGAGAAGAGGGAGACAGAGAGATATAAGAGATCGGAGACATAGAGAGAGAGAGAGAGTGAGACCTAGAGAGAGAGAGAGTAGAAGATAGAGCATAGAGTAGAGAGAGATAGTAGGAAGAGAGAGATAATTAGATAGAGATAGACATATAGTAGATAGTAGAGACAGGAGAGGATATAGATACATTAGTATAGATCTGTACATATAGTGGAGATATGACATAGATTATATAGATAGTAGAGAGAGAGAGATATATATAGCTATAAGATACAGAAGGAGAGAGAGAGAGATAGATTAGAGAGATATAGAGAGATAGAGAGATATAGATATATGATAATAGACATAGAGGTGATATAGAACCATAGTAAGGAGATAAGATACATAGAGTATATAGCTACATGAGTAGGAGTATAGATAATAGATTAGATAGAGACATAGATTGATATATAGACAAGTAGGTAGAGAGAGACAGATAGGATATATAGACAATAGGATATAGAGAGCATAGAGTTAGAAGATATACATATATTAGAAGAGACATATATGAGATAGAGACGAGAGATAGAGTAGATATATTAGATATAGAGATATAGCTGATAGATAGAGATATTGAGCGAATATAGTATATAGAGATAGAGAGAGTAGAGATATTATATGTAGATGATATAAAGAATGAATATTAGATAAAATATATATAGATGAGTATAAATAGAGAATATGATGAATAAAAGAAGAGATTATGATAGAAAGAGATAATATTATATGAAACGCGATAGGATATATATGATATATATATATAGAGTAGAGATGAGATATATAATATATAGGATATATATATAATATATATATAGAGATGGAGAGATATAGAGATATTATATATATATATAATGATATATATAATAAAGATAGATTATTATATTTGAAAAGTATATGTATATAGTAAAGAGAATATCATTAGATATATATATCTAGTAATATATAGATATATTAGATATAGATATATAATAGAAGAGCGAGAGATATGAGATGATATAGAGAGATAAGAGAGCTAGAGAGATAGATATAGATAATAGGAGATATATCCTAGATATTATATCTATATATAGAGAAATAATATATTATATAATATATTATATGATAAGATAATATATATAGATGAGATATCTAGATATAAATGATAGATATAATATAGAGAATATAGAGAGATATATAGAATATGATATAGATATATAAGATAGAATAGATATAAGAGAAGGGATAATGATAGAGATAGATTAGATATAGATAGATAGATATAGCTTAGAGAGATAGTATATATAAAGATATAGATCTATATGAGATATATAGAGATAATACTATACTAGTGATAATATAATAAGATGTAAGAGAATTATATATATGTAAAGATATATAGATAATATATATATAGATAAGATATATATAGAGAAAGATAGATATATATATATATAGATATAGTAATATAATTTATGATATAATAGATACATAGTATATATAATAGAGATAGATATAGAGATATAGAGATAGATGTAGATAAGAGATATAGAGAGAGATAGCTATATAAATGAGAGATAGAGAGATAATAGATCGAGATAATATATTATAGAGATATATAGATATATATAGATGGATATAAAGATATATAGTAGAGATGATATATAGATATAGAGAGAGAGAAGAGAGATAGAATGTAGGAATATAGATATAGATAGATAGAGTAATATAGAGAGAGTATAGATAGATAGATTAGCTAGAGATAGTATATGTAGAAGTATAAGAGATATAATATATATATAGATATATGATAGATAGTATATATAGAGATAGATACTATGTAGATAATAGATATATTATATATATGAGATATAGATAGATAGATGGATAATGAGATAATTATAGTATAGATAGAATAGGATATACTATATAGATATATAGATATATAGAGATATGTACTATAATTATATATATATATATATAGAGGATAAGATTATATAGATATATATAGATATATGAGTTATAGATATATGATAGATAATATATATATACATATATATAATAATGATATATATATATAGAGTATAATATATAGAGATAGAGATATATATATCGTATATATATATATATGATATATATATGAGATGATATATATAGTATAATATAAGATATATATAGAGATATATATAGATTAATAGAATAGAGAGAGATATAGATATATAGATATCAATCTAGATAATATTAAATATATATATATATAGAAGAATATATATATGATAGAGATATAGATATAGATATTATAATATGATATATATATATTATAGATATAGAGAGAGATATTATATATATTATATATATAGAGAGATAGATGAGAGAGTAGAGAATAGCTAGATATATATGATATATATTATATTATGGATAGAGATATATAGAGGTATATATGCGTACTGATATATAGATATGATATATAGACAAGAGATATATAGAGATATAGATATATAGATGGTATATATATATAT